CAAGGGGAATCAGGAATACCATACACTTGCATGAATTTCTCCTTGCCTACAGAGCGAACCCAAGAACAAATTTGAGTAAGATGGTATTACTAGTGCATGTAACCCTTTGGACTCCAGAATGTAAGCGCGAAGCTGACGAAACTGAACTGCAGCATTACTTTAGCGATCCAACAAGTGTTCAGAATTCTCATGTAAATGAGGTCTATCACACTTACGTAGTTTGATGGAACATCACCTGGAGGCCTCATGTTAGCAATCAGTAGAATGTCTATTAGAGCGCGTGCAAATTCATGCTTAGGAACTAAGCTTCCCACGAGGGTCAAAGTGCAGATTTGAAAAAAGCTGGTGATGCATGTTCTGCCTAGAAAGGGGAAGCAGGAATACCATATAGCTTCAGGAATCTCTCCAGGCCAATACAGTGAAAGCAAGAACAAATTTGAGCAACATGACGTAATTACAGCATGCCAGCCTTTGGACTCCAGAATGCAAGTGCAAAGGTGAGGAATGTGAACTGCAGCACTCTTTTAGTGATCCAATGAGTGTTGAGAACTGTTATATAAATACAATTTATTACACATAACTATTTTGACACAACATCACATGGAGGCCTCATGTTAGCAATCCGTATAATGTCTGTTAGAGAGCGTGGAAATTCAGGTTTAGGAACTAAGCTTCCCATGAGAGTCAAAGTGCAGATCTGAAAAAAGCTGGTGATACATGTTCTACCCAGAAAGGGGAAGCAGGAATGCCATATAGCTTCACGAATCTCTCCAGGCCAATACAATGAAAGCAAGGACAAATTTGAGCAACATGGCTTAATTACTGCATGCCAGCCTTTGGACTCCAGAATGCAAGTGCAAAGGTGAGGAAAGTGAACTGCAGCACTCTTTTAGTGATCCAATGGGTGTTGAGAACTGTTATATAAATACAGTTTATTACACGTAACTATTTTGACACAACATCACATGGAGGCCTCCTGTTAGCAATCCGTATAATGTCTATTAGAGTGCAACCAAAGTCAGTTTCAGGATATAAAGGTCCCACCAGAATCAAACTCCAGATGTGCAAAAAAGCTGGTGACGCGTGTTCTGCCTATTAGGGGAATCAGGATGGACATATAGCTTCACGAATCTCTCCAGGCCAATAGAGTGAACCGATGGAGTACCATGGCTTTTTTACTGCATGCCAGCCATTGGATTCCTGACTGCAGATGCAAAGCTGCGGAAAGTGAACTGCACCATTACCTAACAATCCAGTGAGGGTTGGAATTGTCAGGTAAATGCAGTCTATTACACTTATCTAGTTTCATGCAACAGCACAGGGAGGCCTCATGTTAGCAAAACCTATAGTGCCTATTATACTGAAGGCAAAATAAAACTTAACACTACAGTTCTCAGGACAGTCACACTCCAGATTTGAAGAGGACCTAGTGATTCATCTTGTGGCTACCAAGGGGAATCAGGAATACCATACAGTTGCATGAATTTCTCCTTGCCTACAGAGTGAACCGAAGAACAAATTTGAGTAACAGGGCATTATTAGTGCATGTAACCCTTTGGACTCCAGAATGTAAGCGTGAAGCTGAGGAAAGTGAACTGCAGCATTACCTTAGCGATCCAACGAGTGTTCAGAATTCTCAGGAAAATGAAGTCTATCACACTTAGCTGGTTTGACGCAACATCACCTGGAGGCCTCATGTTAGCAATCAGTAGAATGTCTATTAGAGCACGTGCAAATTCAGGTTTAGGAACTAAGCTTCCCACGAGAGTCAAAATGCAGATTTGAAAAAAGCTGGTGATGAATGTTCTGCCTAGAAAGGGGAAGCAGGAATACCATATAGCTCTCCAGGCCAATAGAGTGAAAGCAAGAACAAATTTGAGCAACATGGCTTCATTACTGCATGCCAGCCATTGCACTCCTGACTGCAGATGCAAAGCTGAGGAAAGTGAACTGCAGGATTACTTAACAATGCAGTGAGGGTTGGAATTGTCAGGTAAATGCAGTCTATTACACGTATCCAGTTTCATGCAACAGCACAGGGAGGCCTCATGTTAGCAAAACCTATAGTGCCTATTACACTGAAGGCAAAATAAAAGTTAAAACTACAGTTCCCAGGACAGTCACACTCTAGATTTGAATAGCACCTAGTGATTCATCTTGTGCCTACCAAGGGGAATCAGGAATACCATACAGCTGCATGAATTTCTCCTTGCCTACAGAGTGAACCCAAGAAAAAATTTGAGTAAGATGGCATTATTAGTGGATGTAACCCTTTGGACTCCAGAATGCAAGTGCAAAGGTGAGGAAAGTGAACTGCAGCATTCTTTTAGCGATCCAACGAGTGTTCAGAATTCGCATGTAAGTGCAGTTTATTACACATATCTAATTTGACCCAACATCACATGGAGGCCTCATGTTAGCAATCCGTATAATGTCTATTAGAGTGCAAGCAAAGTCAACTTTAGGAACTGAAGTTCCCACAAGACTCAAAGTGCAGATTTGAAAACAGCTGGAGATGCATGTTGTGCCTAGAAAGGGGAAGCATGAATACCATAGATTTTCAGGAATCTCTCCAGGCCAATAGAGTGAAAGCAAGAACAAATTTGAGCAATATGGCTTAATTACTGCATGCCAGTCTTTGGCCTCCAGAATGCAAGTGCAAAGGTGAGGAAAGTGAACTGAAGTATTCTTTTCGCGATCCAACGAGTGTTCAGAATTCGCATGTAAATGCAGTTTATTACACGTATCTAATTTGACACAACATCACATGGAGGCCTCCTGTTAGCAATCCGTATAATGTCTATTAGAGTGCAACCAAAGTCACTTTCAGGATCTAAAGGTCCCACGAGAATCAAACTCCAGATGTGCAAAAAAGCTAGTGACGCATGTTCTGCCTATTAGGGGAATCAGAACGGACATATAGCTTCACGAATCTCTCCAGGCCAATACAGTGAAAGCAAGAACAAATTTGAGCAACATGGCTTAATTACTGCATGCCACCCTTTGGACTGCAGAATGGAAGTGCAAAGGTGAGGAAAGTGAATTGCAGCATTATTTTAGCAATCCAATGGGTGTTGAGAACTGTCATGATTGCTAACATGAGGCCTCCAGTTGATGTTACGTCAAACTAGGTAAGTGTGATAGACATAATTTACATGAGAATTCTGGACACTCGTTGCATCACTAAAGTAATGCTGCAGTTCACTTTCCTCAGCTTCACCCTTACATTCTGGAGTCCAAAGGATTACATGAAGTAATAATGCCATGTTACTCAAATTTGTTCTTGGGTTCTCTCTGTAGGCAAGGAGAAATTCATGCAACTGTATGGTATTCCTGATTCCCCTTGGTAGGCACAAGATGGATCACTAGGTGCTGGTCAAATCTGGAGTGTGACTGTTCTGGGAACTGTAGTTTTAAATTTTAATTTGCCTTCAGTGTAATAGGCACTATAGGTTTTGCTAACATGAGGCCTCCCTGTGCTATTGCATGAAACTAGATAAGTGTAATAGACTGCATTTACCTGACAATTCCAACCCTCATTGCATTGTTAAGTAATGGTGCAATTCCCCATTCCTCAGCTTTGCACTTGCATTCTGCTGTCCAAAGGCTGGCATGCAGTAATGAAGCCATGTTGTTCAAATTTGTCCTTGCTTTCACTGTATTGGCCTGGAGAGATTCGTGAAGCTACATGGTATTCCTGCTTCC